CTCTTCTCAGACCAATGCTGCAATGATCTGATGACAAGGATAAACTCTCAGTGGCTGGCACAATTACCTGTGCTCCCCGCAGCTGCCTGGCCACTGTGAACTGGACTTCTGGGCGGGCAGCCCTAGACACTGTGGGCAGTGCACAGGAGTGGGGACACAAGGCAGCCATGTCCAGGTGGAAGGAAAGCAGGTGCCTTGTGCTCTCCACACAGCTTCTCAGAGAAGTTCCCAGAGAAACTCCCCATGGGGCAAAGAAACCTGCCCAAGCCTCCATGTCCTGATCAGCTTCTCCCTCCTGCTTTGCAGGTTGAGGAAAAGCCAGCCATGTGACATCAAGCAGTTATAGAGTCTGATGAGACAACAGATGTAGAGATTGGGCTCTCAGGGACACATCTGCCAGCAGGTGCAGAAGGCCTGGCTTCCCACACACTCCCCAGGGCAGATCCGGCCACCCCCCTTCATCAGTGTCACCAGGCAGGTCTGCCCTCACACTGAAAAGACACAAATTAGCCTCTGGGTCTCTCAGGTCCCCTGCTGACACTGAAGACGTTCACCTGGGGAAAGCCATCCCATGTAGGGCCACGGCTGGCGGGGCCTCCTCACTCCCCACATAGCAGGATATGGAGCACGTGCCACCAAGCTGCACAGGATCCCACAACACCAGCCCGGGGCTGGTCCCATTTTACAGATGAGGAAGTTAAGGTATGCTAGCATTAAGTAGGGTACTGAAGATCCTAAATCCAGAAAGAGTTGAGACCAGTACAGACCAATTATCTCCACAAAAGAAAATGAGAGAGGGAAAGAAACAAACAAGCAAACTCGTGTTTTAAAAGAGCTCCAAGGGTCAAAAGAAGGCAATAGGGGAGTAAATATGATCAAAGTACATTGTATACATGCATAAAATTCCATGATAAAACTCATTATTTTGCATAATTAATATATGCTAAAAAATAAGTTAAAGACCAAGCACCTGCAATCCTAGCTTCTTGGGAGGCTGAGATTGGAAGGATTGAAGTTCAAGACCACCCAGGACAAATAGTTCTTGAGACCCCCTCCTCCCCCATCTCCAAAACAAGTGAAGCAAAACAGACTGGAGGAGTGGCTCTAGCAGTAGAGTGCCTGCTTTGCAAGCACAAAGCTGAGCTCGAGCCCAGTTCCGTCAAAAAATATAAACAAATACATAAATAAATAAGGTCACCAAGGGTCAAACCATCAGAGAGGATGATGGTCAAGTGTCCCACACGATGCAACTCTGTGAAGCCAGATCAACCACGAAGTGTGACACACAGACACTTGTCCACGACCTAGGCCTGAGCCTCCTTCTAGACTCACGTAACACGGGCCTTTGCAAGGATACTCTCGGGAAAATGAACGTGAACCGTAAAGAACACCCAAGCCACAAGAGGAGGAGCGTCCCGACCAGGACCCTTTTATTCATTAAAGTCTGTGTATCTTAGACCCTGAGGGAAACGAGGTCAACTCCCAGGAACCAGGAACCAAGGAACCATGGCTTAGGGTTGTGTGTAACTACCAAACACAGGAGTCTCCCTTCTAAAGTCGGGAGAGAAGTTGGGGTGCTGCAGGGAGTGGAAGAAGAATACGCATGACAAAGATTAGTTACCACTGCATATGGGGCATTGTGCCGAGTGTGACACTAAGTCTTCAACTGTCTCATTGGCCCACAGACAACCTTCCAACACACACGCTGTTATTATTTTAACCACTTTATAGAGAGCTTGCTGAGGATCGGAGGGATTAGGAAAATCACACATAGTCACACAGCTGATCAGGGACGGAACCAGGAACCGAACTCAGGGGTAGAGTGACACAAGAAGCAGTGCCTTACCCTTCACCCTTCTCCAAATCTCCACAGGATCCTTCTGAAGGTGACTCAACTCTGCCAGAACCCCAGCAAGTGCTTGATATCAACACAAATGCTCAAGGCTGCCATGTGCCACCAACCACGCAGGCAGCAGTTGGATGAGCAAGGGGTCAGGGCATATCACATCCCAAGACACAGTTCCCTCCACACGGAGAGTAATGGGGATTTCATTTCAGCTAAACTTGACCAGGGGTCAAACTCACCCTACTTAAGATCTAAAGAGAGCCCCCACTGGGGAGCAATGGACACCAGTAAACATCCACAAACTTGGGTTCTATCACCTGGAAGTTGAAGATTTGAGGATAAGCATGGGCTTCCCTTTGGGACTATTTTATAAGAGGTTCACTTAGCAGGTAACTCATGGGACGGCATTCCCTTTAGGCTGTGTGGAAGAGCCTCATGCACTTGCGTATGAGCCCAGGCATCCTCTAGAAAACTGGTCCCCAAGGGGCTCTTTGCCTGCCTCCTCCCAGAAGGTGAGGATCCTGGACTTCCTCTGTAACTAGAGGCTACCATTGCTTGGCCTTCTGTCAGTTGAGATTAACCCAAGGGATTTTACTGACTCTAAAATTCAGACACACACCAGGATCTGTAGGCAGCAGCTGACCAGCCTGCCCTGTGGTTTCATGAGTCCCCTGGGGAAGGAATCAGCTCCACTTCCACATGCCTGTAAACTGCTTTTGCTGAAAGAAACCACTGACACCTTACTGGGTCCACAGATGAACTAAAAGCAGGAGAAAAGCTTGGCCTCCCTACCTCCATTTTTGCATTTGTTTTTGCTCTGAGTCATTCACCTTGCAGCCACCTTGGAATTCACAGGACTGACTGACAACAGGCTTATAAGGAGGAATAGAGGAAACTGCCCCCAAGGCAAGGGACAGCAGAGTCTCCTCAGGACAGACCAACCACGAGGCAACACTGACTTCCTATCATGACCAGATTGCTCCCCCTGAGTGATGAGAGCAATAACAACTTCTCTAGAACCCCTCCCCAAACTAGGACTAAGATAGTGACCAACCAGACCCGACCTTGCCTGCGACTGTTCAACTGTAGCCCCCCTTACACACACATCCTGCTGCATACCTTCCTCCCCCACAATTCTTTGTCTATGTAAAGCTAAGCTCATGTCTGTCCCCCAAAGATGGCTGAAGAAGGGCTGAGTGCTCACTCTGCTTCTTCCCATGGTTTCCTGTGCTGTGCAATAAATCTTTCTCTGCCCTTCACTGTGACTCGTCTCTTTATTGGTGTGCAGGGAGGAGTGGTCAGACCTGACATGTGGAATCCCAGGCGTTTAGGCCTGGGTCTCAAACTGATTTCATGTCCAGTCGGGCCAAGCTCGCCCTCCATCCGGCTTCCACGATAACCAGGCCCTGACAATCCTAGCAGCTCAGAACAATGAAGCAGCAGCTCAGAGCCCACTCTAGGCCACCTGGGCAGCTCTGTATGCAGCCTGAGGCAGCCTTATCATGTCCCTAGGACAGGACTCAATCTATCTCAAGTGACATTACCTGAAGTGAAGGAGGGGCTGTGGGGCAGGAAGGGGCAGACACATTTCACCACCTCAGAGTGAGGACTCCCTTTTCAAAGCCACAGTGATGTAAGAAATGCAATCAGACTCGGGAGGATTGGCCTCCCGTGGCTTTGAACACACCACCCTGCACACACAGACCACAAGGGCTCAGATGACTATTGTCACACATCTGTCTGAAGGGTCAGGAGACTGTACGCATGAGTAAAGAAGGAAGAATGGTACTTTTCTGCCCGTGACTCTCTCCCCCGTCTTAACTTCGCAGACAGGATTCAGAGAGCATTTTTGGAAGCGCCGTGTCACCCAGGCATTGGAAAAAAACATCTGTACAGTGAAGTGGGTGCTGAGTATTTCAGTGATTACCAGGCAATTTGCATAATTAGTCAGGGTCCATCCCCTGAATAATCCCACTTGGGTAAAGGCTGACTTGATCAATTTAAGACCTCTTGTCTCTTGCAGCATTGGCTTTGCGTTTTATTATTGACATCAGTGTGGACAGAGGAATTTAACATTGGAAAGAGTTAGGGTACAGAAAATGCTGACCTACGTCATTTGTCACCCTCATGGAGAGGAGAGAAGAAATGCAGCTTCTGAATAGGTGATGCACTTATACAGAACGTGATCCAGGAGGGTGTGGTTGCTAGAAATTAGGTGGAGGATGAACTTGAACTTCTAAATCCCACTGCATTGCATTTGGAGGAGCTGTGGGCAGCTCGTTCACCAGTCTCAGAAACTGGAGACTTCCAGTCTCTTGGCAGTAGGGAACTTACCAGAGGAGTTGGCGGTTACCAGTTTAGGAGGAACAGAAGCTCTGACCACACCTTTGCCAAATTCTCTGTCATTCTCTCATCTCCAAAAAATACCAGCAAATAACAGAAAGCAAAGGATAGAGCAGTTACACGATCCCCTACCATCTCAGAGACAGAAAGAAGAGGCCAGGGGAGGACATGTGTGAATGTGTTGGATTACGCATCCCAGAAAGCAAACACAAGACAAAACCAGAAACGCCAGCTGCCCTGGGAAGGGGCAGAGTCTAAAAGGACCTTTCACATGGCAGTTTTCACACGTTTGTATCGATCCATGTAAACGCATTACCTATTCAAGAACCATTTGCATTTCTTCTAAAAGCTAAAAAAAAAAAAAAAAAAAAAAAAAAAACAACCAAAAATAAACCCTCCTAATTCCTACTCAATGAGAATTTCTAAGATGGGCCCAAGAATTCTGCATTTTAATAAGCTCTCCAGTTCATCCTCGCACACTCCACACATAGAGAACTTCTCAGCTAAAGGTTCTTTGAATTTATTAAAAGAAACTTCACCTACTTCCCTTGAAGTTGAAGACTGCAATAATAAACCATAGAGGGGAAAACAGTTCGGCAGTGACTGCAAGCTCACCACCCCATAAGACTCCCTCAAAATCCTTCCTAAAATCAGTTCAGCTCAGGCCTGGTGTCCAAACTGGCAGCTGTTCTCTGCTCTCACACACAGATGGCAGAGACGTTAGAAGAGACGGCTGAGAGCCAGGCCAGGCTGCCCTCTCCCACGGGTTGGCTCAGAGGACCCGGCCACACCCCGGGGAGGTTTGGCTCACCTTGTTTTTTAAACAGGTTGCTCCTCACAATCTCGTTCATAGACTGCACTTTCTGCTTCTGCAGCTTCACAGGCGGGATGCAGGTGTAGAACTCGTACAGGAGCTGGCTGAGGGCAGGAAACAGGGGTGGCAAAGGCAGGTCAGACCCATGCCTCCCGCCTCACAGCACACACAGAGCCCATTCCTGGACTGTCAGCTCTGCGGGGGGCACAGGTGGCATCCATCTTGGTCCCCCCAGACCCCCCAGTTCCCACAGAGCAGCAAGTGCATAGAAAGCCTTCAGTAGATATGATAATGAATGGATTCAAAGAGATGTGGAAATCTCAAAATACCGCCAATAGCCCTGAAAGTTGTGTAGCAGACACGTGTTTTAAACCTTGACTCTCTGAGGTGAAGAGAATATTTATTCTGATTTATCTTTCTTTTTTTTACTATATAAAAAAACAGTCTCCACATATGGCTCAGGCTGGCCTCAAACTCACAATCCTCCTGCCTCTGCCTCCCTGAGTGCTAGGATTATAGACAAGAACCACCACACCTGGCTTTGTTTATCCTAATTTTGCAAGTGGGAGAACTAAGGTGGGAAAAAAATTCCCTGGCTTTCTCAAGTTTAGACAGCTGTGGAGTGAAAGAAACAAGAGTTTAAAAGCAGGTTCTGACTTCATTACCATTCATTGTATTTAAAAATATTTTATGCATGGTATAAAATAGGATGTCTTAAGATTCAAAAAAAAAAGGTCCTTAGTTTTTAAAAGCTGTGAAAAAGTTGTGGGTTAGAACCAGTTCAGGACATCAGAAAGGAGATAGTTCTTCCCAGAGTGAAGATAAAAATATCCCCAAACAAAATTATAGTCCCTGCCAGTTTTCCAAAATAAACTCACTGTGTTCATTAATTGCTATTAAGCATGCATCTACTTGGTGTGTGACAAGAGGCATGCAGAGAAGTGGGGTGTCACGGGAACAACAGGGTCCCAGCTGGCATGGGACTTGCATTTGCATGGAGGTTGGCACCGCACAGAGGTCAACGAGTCAACGCAACAGGATAAACAGTGACCGAGAGAAATGGTGGACTGTGTCAGGAGATCACAGCACAGGGACAGGGGGAGGAAGTTAATTTCTCCCCAATACTAGAACTTGCCTTTCTGAAAAGGTAACATTCAGCTTGTGTCCTGCAGGATGATCAGAGAAAAAGGACATCTGTAGGAAACCTGGTGATACCCTCGTGAAGTCCAGAGTGAAGTTAAAATGTGACCGTGTCAGTCTCAGCGTGTCGCAGTTATGCAAAATGTAAACCTCGGCGTAAGGTGGGGGTAGGCACACGAGGACTCTGTGTGCCATCTTTACCACTCTTAGCTAGATCTAAGAGTACTTAAATGTAAAGAGATTTTTTTTAATGTATTGACATTATCTGGGAAATTTAAGAAAAAGAAGAGGAGTCGATCGGACTCAAACGCCCCATTCTAGCAGCATTACCATGTTACAACTGAGTATTCTCCATGAGAACGGAGGTAGAGAGCAGAGAGGGAGCTAAGCCCATCTGTTAGTCATTTAAGCATCCTTAGAGTGCTCACCATCTGCAGCTATGGGGATTCAAGGCAAAGACTGAGGCCCAAACACCTGACAAGTCCAGGGGAGATGGAGACTTTCTCAAAAAACATTTACCTTGTGTATCTTCAAACGGACGCTTATTGCACTGTCCATTGTCACCAAAGTCTGACACGGGAAAACTCCCACACGGGGGCTCTGAAGGAGGCCCCCAGAATGGGCCCTCCCTGTCCTGAGCTGAGGGAGTGTCTGGCACCCCCATGAGAGCCCTGCTTTCCCTCTGAATCCTGGCTTGAAGGCAGAGTGGGAGAAAGCGCGTCCTAAGCTCTCACCTGAGCAGCTTGGCATCAAAGACCGTTTCCACGTCTTGGAGGACAGATGGGATGTATTTCAAAGCAGCCACCTAGGTGCAACGAGAAGTAAACATGAGTGACGCCCACATCCAACAGCCCTGTGCTGGTGAGGAGGACACTTTGCGACACGACACAGATCAGAGATTGACCCTGCATCCCGGACTTTCCTGTAAAGACTCAAGACTTGACAGTGGATCTGAACACAGGCATATGCTCTGTGTCCACAAAAGAGAAGTCACAGTGTCTACCTTCAAGAAGGCAGTAATACACAGTAATGTACTGGAAGCCATATGGATCTGTGGTCAAATACACACCTTCTTAGCCATGTGGTTTGAATAAAACACTTAGGTTTGCTGATGTCTCAATTTCCATTACTATAAAATAGAGCGACATCTATTTTTACAGGATGTGAGGCATCCGGAAGGGTGCCAGGCACATTTTGGGTGCTCAATAAATGACAACCCTTATTATTACTGGGAGATGGTGAGCTTGAACGGTTTTGCTGGTGGCAGGGATGAAATGGTAGTTACTGATAATTCCTCTCCATGGCCACGTGGTAACCTGTGAGGAGAGGGCAATGCTGGGCACACTTAGGCCCGCCGGCTGGGCATGGTAGGATTGCTTCTCTTTCTTCATCCTCAGGTATGAACCACACCCCCCCACCCCTCCCCTCCAAAGCCATCCCACCGGCCATGTAGCAGTTTTAGCAGGAGAAGTTGTGAGTCACATGGACGGGAAATAATGTCTAAGAACCTCCTACAAGTATGCATTTTTTATATTTATTTTCCTCACGTTGCAGGTGTTCTGCTATCAGCATGAGTCCTCCTGTAGTAATCAGACCAAAATAAAACCAGTAAAAATGCCTCTGTTCAAGAAACTCTTACTCCTAGCCATGTACATAGAAGCTTCTTCCTTAAATACTATGACTGTTCTCTGAGGATTTATAGTGGGGCAGACAGTGGCTGAGCGCTGTAAATATATTATCTTTTTAATTATGGCCCTGCAAGGGAAATGTTATTTTCATAGATAAGGTACCTTAGCTGCATCAAGATTCAGTAACCAGCCCAAGGTCACAGAGTGAGCAGGCGAGGAGCCGGATTCAAGTTCAGATGGGAGCTCTTGGGGTCCTTTGTGACCCTTCATCTCATGACCACCTCATCAGATGACCACCCTTCTCTTTGCTTTCATCCCTTTCCCCTTGTGTGTGATTTCCAAATGCTAGTTCTGTAAGCTTGATGTAGAACAAGATTGGGGTGAAAATTGTCCCTGACATCCTACATCTTCACCTCAACTCCATTCTGTCATCCCTGGAAGGACCAGTCAACATGGTGGTGAGTCTCCTCCTGGAATGCTTTGAATGTGTGTGTGCACGAACATGTGTGAATACGTACCTGCACCTGTGTGCATGCAAATACACAGCTGAACTTGCTTTGTTCAGCCAGCCACCTGCCAGTGGGTTCTGGCATGTCATTCCTTGGAGCACTTCTCTCCTCACTTCTAGCCACCACTTAGCAATGGCCAAGTGGTACACGGTGTTCCCTAAGCCCATCCCCTCTCCTGAGCACCATGCTGTTTCAGTCTTTCCTAAGTGTAAAACATGCAATAAGAAGATATTTACCCTTGTGCACCTATAAAGGTCACTGTGGGGTAGACTGCTCAAAGAAGAATTAGCACCTCAAAATATATACAAAAACTTGAGTACATCTCGTCAAATTACCTTAAAAGAAGCAGTCACCAATTTCTCTTTATTGGCTGTTGCTTTGCCCACACCTTGCTAACGCTGAATGTACAATCTTTTTATTTTTTGTCAGTCTGATGAACAATTTGTGATGGTAGTGATTGCCAGCATAGTCAGGCATCTTTTTCATACTCATTGAATATCCACATTTATTAAATTGCCTGTGCGTGTCCTTTTTCCAGTCTCCTCTTTGGTGTTTGTGCTTAGTGGTTTGCAGAATTCTGTAGGTAACAATGACATGGCTCGAGTGGTACAGCGTCTGCCTACCAAATACAAGGCCCCGAGTTCAAACCCCAGTACTGCCACAGTAAAACATTAACTCTTTTCAATCACACATTTTGCAAGAGTTTTCTCTTTCTTTTCCTGTCGTTTGACCGCTACTTGTTTTCTGGACTTTGTTTATCACATCTCTTACTGCACAGAAAGATTCTAACTTGCATGTTGTCAAATTTGTCAGACTTTTTCTTTATAGTTTCCCATGTCCTTTTCTTTATTCTTTCAAATCTGGATGATAAGAGAAGCCAGTGTTTCTGAAGCTATGTTCAATTGACCACTCTTGAGCCATTAGGATGGTGTTAGGTACACTTCAGAGATAAAGGGGGTCGCCAGAAGAGAACCGTGGGAAACATTGGCTAAAGTGAAGATAAACCAGGGAGGATTTTTGGTTATTTTTGTTTTTCAAGTGCAGAACTTCCCAGGATTTTAACGTGCTGCAAAGCCTCCTGACATTCCTCCAGGCAGCTGCAGTAACAGTACATCCTGACCTATTTGGTCAAGGACCATCTTTGTCAGGGAACACCAACAGACGCAGCAAAGTCAGACGCCTGCAGGACTGCACAATGACAGAAGGGCGTGATGCAGAAGGAGTGCAGAGCAGCTGGAAGCGATGAGGCGTCTGGAACCCACAGTCACTTAGAGGATGAGGTGTTCTTGCTCAATCGTCCCAATGCTGTGTTAGCAAAGTCAAACACACGTGCAGGCTGCTTTCTTCCCACCCTTCAACGTCTAAAGAGACCCATGTGCCGACACACATGTCCGAGAAAGGCTGGTCTAAGCACTTCTAGAAAATCATTTCTTTGTTCACTTTTAGGCCAAAGAACACACAGCCTAGGGACCTGGCTATGGACCCCAGCTCTCCCTCCACCTCAGCATAGGCCCATTTCTTCACCTCCAAGTCTCAGCATGGTCAGGTAGGGTAAAGGAGATGAATGGAAAGTAAAGTACACCCTGCAAGCCCTGGAATGTCTAGCACACACCAGGCCCTCCAAGGAAAGCGTGCCAAGTCTCTCCAGATCACCTCTCGCCAGCACTTGTCCTCATCTTACAGCGAAAAAGGCAGAAACAAACCCATCAGCAAGTTGGGGAGAGCCAGGATGTCGGTGTCTGCTGTGGGTGGCTGGCCTTCAGAGATGCATATCATTCCAGAGCTGTGGGGTGACGTGCCAGTACCACAACAGCAGGCGTCTACACGGACGCTCAGCCACGCCCCAGCTCTTCACAAGGAGGTGTTGGGTCGGCTAGGAGAAGGAGCCAATCTCCCCACTTCCAGCACTGGGCTGGTAATAAAGTCAGACAAACAGAGTAGCTGAGACCGAGGGTGTCATCGACACACCAGGACAGTATTCAACTACCTCTGATCCAGGAGCTGCCACAGAGAAGTGGGAAACCCAGGGCTCCCCATGCAGATGAGGACAGCTTATCTCCAACTCAGGAACTTGCAAGACTGCTGCCATGGCCAGGATTGGCCACAGAGCTACTGCCCACTGTCCCCAACACAGCTGAGCAGGTGACAGCAGGTGCTACTACCAAGCACTCCTGGAAGAGAACGGCTCAGCCATAAGACTTACTGGAGACCTCTATTTGTTGAATGTTTGGGAGGCCTGGGAAGCAGAAACAGATTGAGTTTCTAGATCTGTCAGCCTCCTGGGAACTGTGCAGTTTTACTGTTGCTATTTCAGTTAAATTACTGTATTACGCTACCATAATACATAAAATAATACCGCAAGGTCACTGCTTTGATTCAATATTGCACACATCATTTAAAATACCTACACATGTGTTTACACTACACATAGACGCAATGCACATATACGTATAGACTAGGACTACTAATCATAGAGTTTCTAAACAGAAAAATTACTGGAAACATTCTATGTGCCAAATACTTTGTGCGGTTTTTTCTTGGTGGTGGTGTTTGTTTTGGTGCCACTGGGGATTGAACTCAGCGCCTCATGCTTGCTGGGCACATGCCCTGCCCACTTGAGCTGTGGCCCCAGTCCTTTGGCTTTCAGTTTCTTTTTCAGATAGGGTCTCCTGCTGTTGCCTGGACCAGCCTCAGAGGTAGTCCTCCTACCTGTGCTTCCATCGTAGCTGGTATCACAGGCATGCCCAGCTCTCATCTAATTCTTACAACCATTCTACCAATGGATACTGTCACTCCATTGACTAGTGAGGAGACTATGCCACAGAGCACTTAAATAATTTGCCAGAAGCCACGTAGCTAAGAAGTAGCCCAGCAAGGATATGACCTGACCACCCAGCTGGCTCTTACCCAGCATGCTCTGCTGCTGCCATGCCTTTGGAAAAGTGTTGCAAGTGGGGAATTTTCACAGAGTACACATGCTGACTGGGAGGAAGAAGTGGGTAAAGGCCCTCCCTCCGCTTTTATAGGTTTTGAAAAGAAAGTCCAATTTACCCACACTCTTTAAGTCATGGACCTCCTCGTAACATGCACAGGGTGCTGCATGAATGGCCACCAGGAAAACTTTTGCTAGCTTGGTGAGTAGCACTAAGTGTATTTCCTGCTCTGTGGAAGGCAGGTACAGTCCTCAAGAAGAAAGCAAGATCCAAACCCAGAGACGGTGATTGGCCCGGAGAGAATGCAAGGGAGGAGCCTGGAGACCACTGCTCTCCAGATGGTCTTGACACAGAACCGTCCACTCTGGGCTGGGAGCAAATTGTAAGTATTTAAAAACAATAACAAAAACTCAAAACCAAATAGTGGAACTGCCCCCAAACTCAAAGGGGCTTGGGGCTTGCCTATTGAGTGTTTCAGGTCTTCTTTTTCTTTCTCTCTCTCTCTCTCTCTCTCTCTCTCTCTCTCTCTCTCTCTCTCTCTCACACACACACACACACACACACACACTACAGGGCAAGAGCGACTAGCATTGGTGCCAAAAGACACAGATTTCTTGCCAAAAGTAAATGTCTTGAAAGCAAACACAGTTATACAAGAAGGTGAGACAACTTCCTCATTCAAGAGCCACAGACATTCAAACAGACCCTGATTCCACATCTCCAATTCCAATCCTT